GCTTACAGGACTGGGACAAACCACTCTCACCTATAAATCCCTTCTTGGCCATTTCTACAGTAGACTGCCTCGTTATTTTCTCCAGCTCATGTTCCTGTGCAAGAACAACAACACAGTTGTTACTACAGGCCCCAAGAAAAATTGCAGAGCTGCGGTACACACCCTGCCCTGCCCGTACAGGGCACACCCTGATGGCTCTGGGGAGTTAATTCACAGTAGCTGTGGACCCCAGGTGGAAAGAAAGAAACGTGAGAACTCCTCGTCCCTTTGCTCGCTGCCCTTCCAACCCCTCACTGATTCACACCTTCCCCCAGCACAGCAGGCAGTGGCAGGAGCATCCCTACTCCAGACTCCTTCAGCATCTCTCTGGCCAGATGCACTGACCCATAAACCAGAGTTCACCGCCCCTCTCCCCACCACAAGCTGCTTTTCACAGTTACTGGGTGAGCGCTAAACACATCCCCCCTTGTCAGAGTGCATCGCTGTGATACACAGGGAGAGGAAGGGCTGTGCAAATGGAGCGTGAGTTATGGGCTGTCGGCAGGGGAAGGAGAGGAGTGAACTCGCCGAGTATTTCCTCAGATAGATCCTCACACCAGCCATGGCACCACCAAAAGGAACATCTGGAAAAGACTGGGTAAGGCAGACAAATGTTCTCTTCCAGCGCACCTGCTCCCCGGGGGCAGGAGGTGACCATGGCAGTCATGAACTTGTTGGTGAATCCAGGCAAGGGGCCAGCACTTCCCCACACCACACATGGCTAATGCCACATGGCCTCTGCTGAGCAGAGCTGAAGGCAGGACAGGATACGGCCCCTGAGCCTGCCACAAACGCCACCAGCCAGAGCTGAATCCATGACAACCCAGCCACAGAGACTGCATCTGAGAAGCACAATGCTTGATGCTCCCTGATTAACGTGAACATCCCGGACCGCCGGTGGCGTATTCTGCAGCCGCAGCAAGCCTTGCCCTCACACATCCGTGCCCAGAGGAACATCCTGCACTTCTGGAGCACTACTGATTTTCCAAGCACCTAACGAGCTTTTCTGACTCGGTGTATCATGGCCCCATCCCATGCCCAAGTCACCACACGCTTTACATTCCCCTTGTACTTACCCACTACGGTGCATTTGTATGTCATTAATGCAGCCAGGGCTTTTACTTCATTGACACCGATTGAGCTGCTGAAATGAACCCCTGGGAAAGGAGAGAGAAGAAATGAAGAGCCTCTGCCTTTTTACCACAAATGGCACAGAGGCATTGTAGGAAAGGCTTTGACTCTTCTGAAACAGCAGCACCTAGTCGCAATAGGTGATCAGCAATCATTCAGCTAGACCTGTTCCTCCAGATCACCACCAAATGGAAAGCAGTTTCCTACCAGCTGGCCATCCCACAGATGCAGGCCTTTGCTGTGGCGAGCCCCTCAAACAAGGCAGGGGAAGCACGGCAAAAGCCTCAGGCTAAGGGTGAGGAGACAGGAGGCTGCGACCCCCACTGCTCAGGCTCACAACAACCGCGGCTGCTTTGAGGTTTAGGATGAGGAGACAAACACAGGCAGGAGAAAAGTGCTCCGGCGTGAGCGGGAGCAGCTGGGCTGCAGCTGAGGTGGTCAAAGCTGCCTCCCCCAGGTGCCTCCTGCCCTTCTGTGGGATGTGTCCAAAGAAAGCGTCCTCCTGGGCTCCCCTGTACACATCCTGACCACCCTTGTGCTAACGCAGATGTCCCCACCTCAGGCTCCCTGCTCCCCAAGCCAGGCTGGGGTAATCCCAGCACAGCCCCACGCGTGGGGCGGGGTAGTGGGTGAAGAAGCATGTAACGGGGCCGCGGCTCCCCGCCTCGCCCCCTCTGCAGGGCAGGAGGAGCTGGCCGGGCCAGCCCCTCACCACCTTCCAGGCGCTGCTGTCCCTGCGCAGGAGAAAGGCCACCTCCAGGACATAGCTGCCACCATGGATGGTCTCCAGGAGCCTGCACCCCCAGGGCAGCCCCCACCTCCACCACGGAGGCCACCGGCCCGTAGAAGTCCTCCACCACGGCTAGCAGCCCCGGGGACATTGGGGGAGGAGGTGTCCCCCAGCAGCATGGGCTGACAGCCCCACGCCGCCAACCCAGCAGCATGGGCTGTACCTCCCCTGTCCCCCATTGCCCCGTCCCTGCCTGTGCCCCCCCAGCTGGCCCTGGGGCCATGTCCCTACCTGCATCCGTGTCCCTGTCTGCACCCAGGAGCGTCCAGGGCCATGTGCTCAGCTACTGGGCTGCAGTGTCCCTGCTACGGTGCCCTCCCATCCCACAGGGCTGGGACAGGTCAACCCAGGCACGGGCTGTGTGTTGGGGCACGCAGGGCAGAGGGTGCCGGCAGGGATCAGGTACCTCCCAGCACCTCCACACTGAGGCGGCTGGGAAGGCAGTGCTATTTTTAGGGTGCTTGGTGCTTTTGGGTCTCCTGGTAATGTCCTTGTCATCCCAAGGCACTCGCAGCTCTGGGCACTCTGTGGGTCCTCCCATGGGCAGCATAGGCCAGCCTGGGGAGGGGAGCCCGGGGGGCAGCGTTGGACGCACGGCTGTGGTTGGCGATGGGAGCCCGATGCCCCCGGGCATCT